GCGCGTCCGCCCCGCGAGGGGGCAGAATGCCAAGTGAGTCTAACGTCAGTCATCGGGGGCGGCAGCCGAATCCTCTCTTTGTCTCGTGGCCTTGATGGTGATTGGTTGGACAGCAGGAAAGTAGACACTAGCGTGGGTGGTGAGTGTCTCATGCGCCAGTTTGCGTCTGGTCGGGGGCAGACCGAAAAGTACATTCGCGTAAGGGCCTGCTTTGAGTGACCTTGCCTGTAACGTCAAGAGTTAGGTGGGCGTTGGGCAACAGCGACAACTACAGATACACTGGTTGAATGGATCACGCACCGCTATTGTACGATTCTAGCTTTCTGCACCAACCCCGTTGGTAGGGCGACACAAAACGATGGAGTACATAGTGAAAAGGACCAAATGTTTCGGGTTTCTTGCATCCTTTAACTCTATAGCCAATAGTAACGCGTACGTCAAACTACATTGATAAGAACAATCAATGCAGTACGGTACTATTAAACAAATAGCAATGATTAAACGAGGTGAAAACCTTTACGATGCAAACATGTTATTAAGAACAAGGGGGTAGACCAAATATCGTCTGAATCTAGACAAAGGAAAGACGCACATCCGACAACATCACAGTGATGCAGGACGAAGCCAGTCTTGGAAGGACGCGTGCGTCCGTGAGAGAGGGGACGAGTGCTGCTCTCATGTGACTTCGGAGCCAATTCATGTGTTGTCCGATTGGTGTGAAAATTGCCCGGAAGGGGGTGTCGTGTACAGAGGTCCATGTTATGTCGGCCGGGGTGGGGGAGGGGGGGGTGATTTGTTCAAGTAGTCCATCGACAGCCGCGACTCTATTGCACACATGTGTGCAGGTGAGGGGTAGGCGGCCGCGCCTTTTTGCAAACATGCCTCAGCGCGGGTAGAATTGGTTCTTGCAGATCGAATAAGAGGGGGAGGGGGTAAACAGCACAGTTGACTATCACAGCGAGTCGAAACCGTTGTTACTTAAGACAGCGGGGAGCTGATGGAAAAGGGATTAAAACAATTTGACGGAACAGTGAAGGGGATAGCTTTTGGAAGAGGGGAACAATTATATGTAGACTGACAGAATTTCACTGAAGATGGACGCGGAGAATTCCAAATTTTTTAGCTGAAGATAACACTAATCTTCCTGGTACAACTCGGGGGTGATGTACGTATAGTTTACTGAATGAGAGCAGGAGAGTATCTCCTAAAAGTCTTCGTTGATAAGTACCCACAATTGCAAATTTACTCACCTTTCGGTATCATCCTGCTTTTCATATGTGTCTTCCTCCATCTTAACGATTTGGGTTTCTTTATGAAGACCCGATATATCCCATGTACGGAGCCCTCGTATTGTTTGTTAACACCATAAAAGTTGCATTATCCTCCGCGGATTAAAGCCTGATTCCGTTTTGATATTCGCCTTGTGGTCATACCTATAATGAATGCGAACACAAAGATGTGTGCGATGGAGCTCTTCTGTTAACAGCTCGATAACTAAAAGCCTTTATTCTGAACTTGGAAGCGACCGTAAGGTCGTTTGATCGGCCAATGTCCATTGGGGATCAGCCCTGCGGCC